GGGGCGAGGCGCGCGCTCCCGCGGGGGAGGGGGCGGGGTCAGCAGCTGACGGGCTGGCGCCAGAGCGGGTGAGCGGGCAGGCGCGTGGGGGCGGGGCGTGACGTGACGGGGACCGAGTTTTCGCGCTGACAGGGCTGGGCTGGAAAACAGCGGCAGACGCAGCTGATGCCACTGAGCATGCTCAGAGGCCCGCTCGAGGCCCCTGCGCCTCCTTTCCACCCACCTTCCCCCTCGGGGGCCCGAGTCGTGATGGGTGAGTTCCCCTCGTTGTAAAATGTGCCCGGACGTAGCGTCGGCCACAAAACCACGTCTCCTTCGAGCCGGAATCGAACCAGCGACCTAAGGATCCCTGTGGGTCTTGGTTGTACCTCTACAGTCCTCCGCTCTACCAGCTGAGCTATCGAAGGGACAGGACAGCTATGTTGCCTGGCTCTTCTCTGTGCATCTGCCGCTGGGCTGGGGCTGTGTGCCACCCACTCTGGGCAGTGCGGGCAGCTGGGAGCAGCCCCAGGTGTGTGTGACTATTACTCCAATGGCAAACGGAGCTGCCCCGTCTGCTCCTCCCACAGCTGTCAGGGCAGTTCAATAAAGGCCCGTGATCAGAACCTGGGGCTAGTGTGGTTTAGAGACAGACTCCTACTTACTTCTGTGGAGCTCACTTGCATTTTTGTCCTCAAAGAATGAGGCTGAAGTTGGTTCCTTATTCCTGGCTCCTTGTTCAAAGCTAATCTTGACACAATTCAAGGCTTTTAGCAATGAATTAAACCAGCGCTGAATTTAGGCTTGAACTGTTTAAACTACAGTTTAGGGCTTCACAATATGAGGGGCTTCTAAATAAGAAAAAAAAAACCCTGACTCAATATCAAGTTTTATAATTATGATTTAGTAGATAAAGGAGATATGGGAAAGTGACTCTCTAAATATGGACATTCTTGTTCTAATATGAAAAAAAATACATACATTGGTTTATTTTTATCATATTGGGCCTCTTAAACTGGACATAGTTTAGGACCTTAGCATGACATAATCCGGCACTGAATTACACATGCAAAAAAGTTAGAATTTCATCAAAAAAAGTATACTTACCAATAAAAATGTAAAATAATATAATGCATCAAGTAAATTGTCCTGAATAAGGAGCTTAGATTAGTCTGGGATTATAGGGCAAAATCCTTTTCCAGTCACCCCAAACCACAAATCCCCACAACTAGAAGCAGCCTGGGCAGGCCCCTGCCTGATCCAAAACTCGGTTTTTGCTTGCCATAGAGCTCAGTGGAAACAGGCCACACTGCTCCCTCCTGTACTTGCAACCCAGACAGAGTGGGCACTACCAAGTAAAAGACTAGATAGCAAAACTGAATTGAACTGTTATTTCCTGTGGTTTAAATGAGAAATGAAACAGTGTTGATTATAACAGATGCATTCCAGATGAATTACTACATCTGTAGTGAGTCCCCTACTTACCTTTTTTCCCCCTTTCCTTCCCTGGTTTACCCAATTTCTACCTATTTACATTCTCACTGACATCCTGCCATACTTTTTTTAGCTGCTTTCATTCCTTGGAGTCTCAGAACAGGAGAGACTCCTTATGCCTGAAGAAGGGCGATTACACCTGAGAGCTTGCCAAGAACTTTTTTCCAACTACTCAGTTGTTCTAATAAAAGATATCACATCTGTTCAAAGAGCCTTGCCTGCCTTTGTCTAATCCAGTGGTTTTCAGCCTGTGGTCTGCAGATCCCTGGGGGTCTAGAGACTATGTCTGAGGGCTCCATGAAAGATGACTATGATGAATCAAAAGTATGTGAATACCCAGACTTACAATTCAAAGGGGTCCACACCTCCATTCAAATTTTTTTAGGGATCTGCAGATGAATAAAGGTTGAAAACCACTGGTCTAATCACACCTGTCAGGCTTTTTTAATCATGTTAAACTGCTAGCACCTACCATAAACACTTTACACGTTAGGAAAACCTTTATCGCACAGGATACTAGAAGGCTGAAATAGAATTTGTGCACTTATGTCCAAAGCTGCGAGAAGCCCCACACAGCTGCCATCTAACCCTGAAGGCCTACGAACTCCATAGACACTGTAGTTTGTTATCTTAAAGTCCCTCAGCGCCTGAAAGTTCTGCCTAAGCACCTCAGTTTTGCAAGGACTGAGCATCTAAGCACCCAGGTCAACCTGATCAAGATCCAACTAGGCATTCTTTGGTCTAAATGCCCCAAGGCTCAGTCCTGCAGGTATTCTCAAAGCACACCTGACACACTTGAGTGGATCCATCACTTCACAGGATGCATTAGCTGCCACCATTTCCTTTCACGCATATCTGAAGGAGGTGTTAATAGTGCCCCCCCCTTGTATGCTATAACCTACTGATCTGATCACTAAGGTAAGCTGAGGGAAAATGCAATTAATTCCTTCTCTACCTGAGGAGGATCCATAACACATCTCTCCCTGGAAAGTGCTCTAACTAAAAACTGAAGGCAATTCTAGGGTAGGAAGACTTTTCACTCCTCTTGTTGAAGCTGTGCCCCACGGCTTTTCTGCCCCACTGTGCAGAAAAGAATTCAAGATTAAGTAAGAAACACAGAGAAGAGGGAGCATGACACTGTAAGCCTTATAGTTATGGCACCAGAGACAATCTGAGCAGGGTGTGGGATGTGAGGAAGCTGGCAGCAGATTGAGCAGGGGCAGGGGGTGGCAAGCGGCCAGACATGAAGCCAGCGGTAGCACGGTGTCACCGCGACTGCTCTGCCCGGCTTCATAGGGCTCTCCAAAATGCATGGCTTGGGGCAGTCACCCGGATTCACCCCCTCTAGGGACAGCCTTGTATGGCACTTAGCTGGAAAGGGGGAGTCCTGAATTCTGGTGCCTGCTCCTAAAACTGTTTTGTATTTGTCACTACACCAGTCATTAGATAAATGGTTCTGGGCATAGGAGCAGCTGCAAGGTGAGGGCCCTGGTCCACTGTCACATTCCTCAGTAATGCCTTCTCTTTTTTAGTTCATTGAATTTTGAAGCTACACCACCCTGCAGAAAATAATTCAACAGGAGGTGGGGGTGTGCCAGCATTCAGAATACTTGGCAGCCTGGTGTTCGGCTCTCTGCTGAACAGCAAATTCATTTTGAACAGAGATCTCTCACTCCTTGGGTGACTCTCTAACCACTGTTGCTGAATAAAAACAGAAAGGACACCATCTCCCTCTTCTGGCCACTTTTTAAAACAGCAAGCCCTGCTCAGCTCCTTGAAAAAGAAAATAGAGGATTTTGGGTTGTGGATCTCTTGGGGATGATGACTCCTCACACCCTGAGTGAAGCATTTAAAGAGGCTTTAAGACTCTTTCCTGGACTTGGTAGTTCCTTTAGACATATGGGAGCTGAGCAGGTTGACTACAGATATCTTGCTTCTGTGTGCACTGGCTATTTCAGATCCCTTTCAGAGGCATCTAATTCTGTATGAGAGAAAGAAACTAGGCACCTCACTTCAGGAACCAGGTGCCTCAAAAATAAAGCTTTGCAGCACCTAGTTTTTGCACATTTATTTCCTTTATTGGATTTAGCTCTTAATAGTTTTATAGTGTTGATTATACAAATGAACTAATTAAAATAAAATAAAGGAAAAGGCAGGATCCCAGGAAAGTAAAACAAGACATTCATGAATGTTGTGTGCCTCCCAAGCCTGGTGGGGCACGGAGACTGCCCGCAGGTGTCAGGGGTCCGCAGGTGTCAGGGGCGTGACAGTAGCATGCAGGCAGCCACGGTGGTGTTGGCGGCAAAGAGGGGGTGGCGAGCACCGACCAGCGATCGGCAGCCAGTGGCAATCAGCGACCACCCGCAGACGCTGCCGGCAGTGTTGATGGCGAAAGGGGGGTGGTAAGAGGCCACCACCTGCAGGCACTGCCAGCAGCCAATCTCAGGGGGTACACCACTAATCTCAGGGAGTGCAGATGCCCCCGCGTGCACCCCCTACACCAGGGGCGGACAATTATTTTCAGCAGAGGACCGCTTACTGAGTTTTGGCAAGCCATCAAGGGCCACATGATAGGCAGCCAGGGGCAGATAAATATTAATTTTCTAAATTTTTTAGGGGCCCTGAAGGCCAGATAGAATGGCCTGGCAGGCCTCATCTGGCCCCCAGGCCGCATTTTGTCCATCCCTACCCTACACGTTGCCAAGGAAGGCATTGCCCAAAAGTGTAGGCTTTGATCCTGCAAAAATAAATGCACAGGCAGGGTGCATTTAAAGAATCCTAATCCTAATGTGTGTATAGAACTAAGTATGTGCATAACTCCTTTCTCAGTTTCTCAGTACCGGGACCTCAGGTTTTGTTTGTTCTATTTGTTTTTTGGTGGTCAATACAACATTCAGTGCTTGCCTGTTAAGGAGTTATGTATTTACTCAAATATAAGATGAGCTTTTTTTCTCTCAGGCTAAATACAGACAGTCAAAAAGACAGAGGCTGAATTGATTCAATCTTTGCAGGTTAGTTTAAACTGTGTAGATCGAACTGAGAAGCAAGTGAACACACATTCACTTCTTCCAGAAATGCAGCCACATGCCTGCAGTGGCTCTGGCCAGAAGTCAGGGAGCACTAGAGCATGCCTCCTAGCCACTGCCAAAGGAAAGAGAGGAGAGAAGCCCTGCAAGGCCTTCCCTGCCTCCCTGCCTGAGCAGAGGGGATATGGCCAGGCCCCCGCCTGGGGCCAGCGTG